GGACTTTCAGCGACGGATCAGCGAGGGAATTTTCCCTCGCTGATACCCAGCATTTTTGTAGTGTAATGCTTTTATTTTTGAATAAAAATATAAACTTGAAATAACATAAAATAATATGCATCCACAAATAGTATTTTGTGCATAAAAAGTGAGTTTTAAGAGTTTTTATCAAATGTTTTATAATATACTATAAATATAATAGAGTAATTTAAGTTGTTGATCATAGTTGATATCGTTTTCGCCTTTATCTTGAAGGTTATGAGTTCAAAAGTTTTTATCATCGTGGATGAGAATATTCTCATCCGTTTGGATGCATTTGTATGTGTTTTTATTTTTTACTTTTCGTCGTCTTCTTTTTTCAGAAAAGGTTTTAGATTAAGATGTTCCGTATTACACATAATAAATATGTGACAACCTAAAAATAAAAGATAAAATGAACCGAAATATTTAAGAAGGACCAGAACTTGATATATATTAAAAAAATTTACCCAACAATAGGGGTACTAGAATAGCGTTTACAAATCGGCTACTGAGAAGATAATTAACAACCTACTAATCTAGATTATTCTATATCTAGATTAAAGACGGGTGTTCCTATCAGTCTCCAAAAAAATACCGTATCATCAAAAACGCAACGCTCAAGGTAACAAAGGCTATAACTACAAAAGAGCCCTTCCACGAACCAACGCTCCTCTCAACCCTTTGAAGCCTCGCCGCTAAAGGAACCTGATATACAAGCCATATCAAGAAGAAGTGTTAGGCTTACGCCTAGTGAGTTCAATTGGTAGGATAAATGCATAAAAGAAGAGTCTTTGCATAGAAATATACATATATAACCATGACGTAAGTTAAACAGTTAAAGGGGACGGTAAGTCCAAGATATAACATGGGGGGGCCAAAAAACATCCGAAGATGACGGGGGAGACCCGATTTACCGTTGATTATGACAGACACATAGTAAGTCATAGATCAACGTTACAGAACATCATTCACAGGTTTAAATACCATCGACATCAACCTAAACCAGTCATGTAGTCGGTCGTGATCTTAAGCTCTTTATCTCGGAAATTACATAATAATCACAATGTCTATTTCCGAGTGGGAGTGAGAGGATGATTTGGAAATTGCATAATGATCACAATGCCTAAATCCAACTTACACCATCCCTCGTATCAATTCAATGAAATGACTTACATGCCAAATATTTCATTGCAAATATTGCGATAAACCTAGTCACGGTACCTTAAGCATATTAGTAACCATTTACAAATGAAACTTTACATATGTCATAAATCAAATGAAAGCATTCCTATTTTGCCTATAAACAACTCCAAATGGAGCACATGCCGTCTTAGAGTTTTACGACCAACAATACTCGGAAACATGCAACCCACCTAGTGGACAAACCCCTTTCACTTTTCTAAAAATTTCTATCATTATAATGGATCTCCCAAGTCCACAAACTTTCGACCTAAAGTCCCCGTCCCCATCGAGCTAGCAATTTTACACAATCTAGGGTATAAAGTTAGCAAAACATACACCATCGCACCTAATTATAAGGTTAACAAGGGTATAGAATGAACTCACCTTGGAGGTTTTAAAGGAAAACCCAATGATTCAGACAACTGCTCGCGGTTGCTGTTTTGCTGCCTGCTGCTTAACGGAACCAGCAGCGGTTGCTGCTCGGTCTGAAGAATGCAGAAACAGCTCAGCAAGGCTACTGCCTGCTGTTTGCTGTTCGAGATATGGCGAGGAGGCGGAGTACACACACACAGAGCTGCTGTCTTTGGGCGAAAAACCGACAAGGAAAGTACCCTCGGGCTGCTTGCTGTTTTGGGCAGCTGAAGGCAAAGAACAGCACGACATCAATGTTGTCGGCAGCTTGCTGTTTGAAAGGTGTAGCGGCGAACGGGGAACACAGCACAACATGGCTGTTGTCTGCAGGTTGACGGAGAAGGACGAAGGGCAGGGCGGTAGCGCCTGCTACCTGCTGCTGTCGCTGCTGTTTGATGGAGAAGGACGAAGGGCAGGGCACGGGTCCGTCGAGTGTAGAAGTGCGGGGACAGCTCCCTATGCAGGCACGACGCGAGGAGCACAGCAGCGCCTGCTGCTGTTGCGGGTGGTCTGAGGTGCGACGGAAGATGTAGGCAGCAACCTTTGCTACTGCTGGTGGTCTAAGAATCGTGCAGGCAGCGCCTGCTATTGCTGTTGGTCGACTGTGGATCGGCGAAAAACCTAGACAGCGTCTGCTGCTGTTGTTGGTCGTAGCTCCGATGATGGTGGGTTGTCCTCTCTTTCTCTAAACAGTAGCTAAGTTGATGTTTCTTCTTTGATCTAAATGCAGCTACGGCTGTGTTTTCCATTTCCAAACCGAAGCTTCGGGTGTGATTTCTGCTTCCAACCATCAGCTATTTCTTCTTTGAATCCCGTAGCTCCAACCCCCTTTTCCTTTCTTTCCTCTTCTCTTTTTGTTTTTTCTTTCTTCAAGATGGCAGGAAAAGAAAGATAAGACCTAACCCCCTTTTTTTCTTTTTACTTTTGAGGATAGGACATGGTAAGGTTATAGGACTGCAAACCCCCCCCCCTAAGTCTTCACTTTACAGCTTTCTTTTCCAATGTACTTATTGACTATATATATATATATATATATACACACACACACACACTTGACAAGGAATTATTTAGATAAATTAAGTGCTCTAAACTTTCGGGTGTTACAATCCTCCCCACCTTGGATTAAATTTCGTCCTCGAAATTTTAGTTCACGCGAATAGGTGAAGGTAACGCCTCTTCAAATCCTTTTCCGCTTCCCATGTCACGTTTGCCCCTCGATGATGCTTCCATTGAACTTTAACCAAGACAACCACCTTGTGCCTCAGCACTTTGGTCTTTCTTTCCAAGATGGCTTTCGGTTCTTCTATGCATTGTTTGTTCTCATCTACACAAATTTCCGAAAGCGGTATCACACTTTCTTCTTCTACCAAACACTTACGAAGGTAACACACATGAAATGTGTTATGAATTCCGGCCATCTCAGGTGGTAATTCTAATCTGTAAGCTTGGAGTCCTACCCTAGCCAGGACCTTAAACGGTCCAAGGAATCGGGGACTTAGCTTCCCGCGCTTTCCGAAACGGATAATGCCTTTCTAAGGGGACACCTTTAGCATTACACGGTCTCCCACTTGGAATTCCATAGGTCGGCTCCTCTTGTCTGCGTAACTCTTTTGTCGATCTTGAGCCGCCTTTAAGCGTTCCCGAATACACTTCACCTTATCGGCCGTTTCCTGAACAATCTCGGGACCAGCAAACTGCTTCTCACCCGCTTCTAGCCAACACACTGGAGTTCTATATTTTCGTCTGTACAACGCCTCAAAAGGTGCCATTCCTATGCTAGAATGATAACTATTGTTATAGGCGAACTCCACCAGGAGTAGGTGAGAATCCCAATTCCCGCCAAAATGGATAACACAAGATCTAAGCATGTCTTCAAGGGTTTGAATGGTTTGCTCGCTTTGACCATCGGTTTGATGATGGTAAGCTGTACTCAACTTCACCCTCGTTCCCAACTCTTTCTGTAAGCCGCTCTAGAAATGGGATGTGAATCGGCTATCTCGATCTGATACTATTGACAACGGTATACCGTGTCTTCAGACTACTTCGTCGATGCATAACTTGGCAAGCTTCTCCATGGGCAACGTTTCACGCATTGCTAAGAAGTGAGCGCTCTTTGTCAGTCGATCAACCACTACCCAAATCGTATCGTGGTTTCTTAAGGTCTTCGGCAGTTTGGTCACGAAGTCCATCGTAATATGTTCCCACTTCCATTCGGGAATCTCCAAGGATTGGAGGCTACCATAAGGTCGTTGGTGCTCTGCTTTCACTTGCAAACATGTCACGCACCTCTCTACGTAACGAGCCACATCCAGCTTCATAACGGGCCAACAATACGTCAATTTCAAATCTCGGTACATCTTGGTGCTACTCGGGTGAATGGAGTATTTAGACTTGTGCGCATCTTCTAGTAACAGTTCACGATTTCCCCCAATTTTGGGTACCCATATACGACCTTGAAACAACTTCAAACCACGACTGTCCTCCGTAAGAAGTATGTATTGTTTCACCATAACCTCGCTCTTGAGTTTTTTCTCCAAAAGTGCTTCGGACTATGCCACCTTGATCCGATCGATCAGACTGGACATTGCATCAATCCTGGTAAGCACGGCTTTCGTCCCACTATCGTACTCCTTTCGGCTCAAAGCATCCGCCACTACATTCGCCTTACCCGGGTGGTACAACAACTCACAATCGTAGTCTTTGAGTAGTTCGAGCCAACGCCGCTGCCTCATGTTTAGTTCTTTTTGATCGAAAATGTACTTCAAACTTTTGTGATCAGTGAAAAGCATGCATTTGGTACCATAGATGTAATGCCGCCAAAGCTTTAAGGCGAACACCACTGCTGCTAGCTCCAAGTCGTGGGTGGGATAATTCTTCTCGTGGTTCTTGAGTTGCCTTGATGCGTATGCTATCACCCTTCCTCTTTGCATTAAGACGCAACCCAACCCCATTTTTGAAGCGTCGCTAAAGACTACAAAATCTTCGGATCCTTCTGGCAAGGAGAGAATCGGGGCTTCACATAGTTTTCTTTGGAGAGTTCTAAAAGCATTTTCTTGCTTCTCTGACCAGATAAACTTCACATTCTTCCTAGTCAACGCCGTTAAGGAAGAAGCAACCTTGGAGAAGTCTTGGATAAATCTTCTGTAATAACCCGCCAAACCCAAGAAACTTCGAATCTCCGATAGACTCTTTGGTGGTTCCCAGTTCATCATTGCCTCGATTTTGGATGGTTCCACTTTCACCCCGTCTCGAGTGACAACGTGACCCAAGAATTGGACCTCTTATAGCCAAAAGTCGCACTTGGAGAATTTTGCATACAATTTCTCTTTTCTTAACAGTTCGAGAACCTCGCGAAGGTGCTGTTCATGATCCAACTCGTCCTTGGAATAGATGAGTATGTCGTCAATGAACACTATCACTGACTTATCAAGGAATGGTCGACACATTCGTCAAGTCCATGAATACTGCTGGTGCATTCGTCAAACCGAAAGGCATGACCAAGAATTCATAGTGCCCGTATCGAGTTCTAAAAGCAGTTTTCATCACATCATCTTCCTTTACTCGCACCTGGTGATACCCCGAACGAAGGTCGATCTTTGAGAAGCAACATGCTCCTTGAAGTTGATCAAAAAGATCGTCGATTCTGGGAAGAGGATATTTGTTCTTCACGGTTGCCTTATTGAGTTCTCTGTAATCAATACACATCCGCATGGTGCCTTCCTTCTTCTTTACAAATAAAACTGGGGCTCCCCACGGTGACGAACTCGGTCTAACAAATCCTTTCTCAAGAAGGTCTTGCAATTGAGACATCAACTCTTGCATTTCGGATGGCGCCAGATAGTATGGGGCTCTAGCAATAGGAGCGGTTCCCAGAACAAGGTCGATTCGGAACTCCACTTGCCTAATGGGTGGTAATCTGGGTAAGTCTTCAAGGAATACGTCAGGGAATTCATTAACCACCTTCACATCTTTCATTCTTCTTTTAACTGGTTTGGTATCTAACACATAAGCAATGAACGAGGAGCATCCTTTAGCTAGACATTTACGGGCCTTAGCTGTGGATAAGAGTACTACATTACTTTTCCCTCATTCTCCGTAAACTAGCATTGCATCCCCGTCCGACAAAGGGATTCAGATCAACTTTTTAGAGCATAAGATCTCCGCTTGGTTCCCTGCCAACCAATCCATCCCAATTATGACATCAAATCCGCCTATAGCCATGGGTATGAGATCTACCCAAAATTCCTTTCCCTCAATTCTCGACACGCAATTCCTAATAATCTCACGCATCAGAACTTGACTACCATTTGCTATCTCTATGATCAAAGCATCTTCTAGTGCACTAGGGGGCGTATGCAAAAGTTGATGGAACGTAGTGGACATAAAAGAACATGAAACACCTGAATCAAAAAGTACGTGTGCAGGTACAGAGTTAACAAGGAACGTACCCGACACTACATCCGTCGATGCCTTAGCTTCTTCAGCAGTCATCTGGAAAGCTCGACCGGTTGCTTTCGATGTATTTTCCTTTCTTCCCTGACCCCCTCCCGCCTTTAACTTTAGGCAATCATTCTTGAAATGACCCGACTCTCCGCATCCAAAACAGATGGGTCCTTTGATCGGACAATCATTTCGTGTGTGGCCTGTCTTTTGGCACTTAAAGCATTTTACAGGAGTAGGGTTGGTGATGCACGGGCCGAGATGTTTACTGCGATATTTGGGACACCACCTGGCCTCTTGTCTAGGATAAACTCCACGGTTGTTGTGGTTGAGATGGTTTGGTCTCTTGGAAGGTGCATGATGACCTTCCCACTTCCTTTTTTCACTACTAGCTGCTTTCTCCTCTCTCCTTTTGCTGAACACTGACTCCATGATCTTTGCCTCTTCGATTGCCTCTTTAAGGGTAGAGGCTCTGGAATTTCTGACCATTACCATCATGTCTGCGGGCAACCATTTTAAATAAGCCTTCATTTTTTCTTTCTCCGTTGGGGCCACATGTCCCACCAAATTTAGTTTTTCCATGAAGAGTCGTGTGTAGTCCCTCACCGACAAGTTTCCCTTCTTTAGGGTTTGAAACTCTTCTTCGATGCGGTCCATCTCCTGCTCATTGCAATATTCCTCCAACACCTTTTCCTTAAACGTGGCCCAACTCATCTTGGCTAATTCCGTAACCTCTACGGTCGATATGACAATGTTCCACCACGTATGGGCTGCACCCCTTAGCATTTGGGAGCCAAATTTCGCCTTTTGCCCCTCATCGCAGTCACAAGTCCGGAAGGCTTGCTCGATCTCTCGCAGCCAGTTCATACATGCCACGGGATCATCTGACCCTACAAACTCTGGTGGTTTGCAACTTAGAAACATCTTCTAGGAGCAGACCTTTCCCACTTGTCTTGCATCAATTGTTGCTAATTCCTGGGTTGGAATTTCATTTCCGGTGCCCCCGGATCCCACAATAGTCACGTTTTCGGTAACCGCTTCATGCTTACGGTTGTTTGCATCTCTATCCTCTAATAACTTCATAAAGAATTCCTGTTGTTGGGCCATAGCTCTGTTCTTGGCGTTCATCATTGTGCCCATCATCCTTGATTCTAGGGTTCCTTATTCCATTACGGGGTTAGAGGTGGCAAGGTCGACCTGTGGAACGTGGTCAACTCCACCGCCCAAGATGTTTTGTCCAGGGTGAACCCTCGCGAAGGAGATTCGTGGCGGTTGATCCGCGGTTGATTCTGTCACCGCATGACCTTCTGGTGAGGTATCCCTTACACTTCGAGTATTCACCATAAAGTCTGCTTGTACAAGAGAGTAATAGAGAGTCAGAATGAGAAGAATATATGTATATATATAAAACTAACATAATACGGTATCGACACAATCATAATTTTGTAATAACAGTGCGTCCAAGCATGCCCATGCAACAACTTACTCAAAATAGCATTAGCTAAGTGGAATTTTGAATAGGTTATACATAAGGATCCTCAACATCATCGCAACAATTTCATGAATTATGCAACTCCGTTGACTATAAAGCTATCCTATCTTAAAAGTTTCTACCCATAGCTCACGAATTAATGCTTACAATCTCAGCTTAAGTCTAGGCGTCTTAGTTCTTCACCTAGTTCACTTAAACTAGCGCTCTGATACCAACTTGTGACACCCTAAAAATAAAAGATAAAATGAACCGAAATATTTAAGAAGGACCAGAACTTGATATATAAAAAAAAATTACCCAACAATAGGGGTACTTGTAACATCAGTTACGCTCTTTGAATAAAAGAAACTATTTATCCAAATAAATTTTCCATAAAACAATCTCCAAGCAAATACGRGAYATATGTTATAATTTCCACCAAAAGACAAAATAACATAGTCTGTAATAGACGATTCTCAGTACTATAAGTCGGATCCATAAAATACAATTATATCTACTCAAAAGTATTATATACCTAGATCCGACTCAAACGATACTCGTTCAGCAGATCTAAACCGTCTAATCCTTCACCTGGGCAGCTATCGGCTTTCCTGAAAAGAAAGTTCATTCTAAAATATTAAGCCACAAGGCTTAGTGAGATTATACCAAAGCTTATA